TAATTGGAGAGGTGCCTGGATCCTGATAGATTTATTCCTATTTCCCGGAAATTTCACCCAATCATCTTGGGCAAGTCTGGTAAGTTTTTTTTTCCAATATAAAGTTTTATTTGTTTATAAAGTATTTAATTCGTTCAAATTTACTTTTTTAATTACATATTTGTTCATTTTTATGTGAATAAATAAATGTCTAATACATAAATATAATACGTATAATAGGTGATAGGTTACGGGGGTGCTGTGTTTGCCTATTTGTTACAACCCTTCATGAGATGGATCTGTAACAGATTAACTGGAGGACCACGCTTGATAGCCTCCGATATTTTCCTTTTGACATGTTTTATTTTCACGGTAAACACTTGGAGGGGAATTTGGAATTTGCTTAATATATATTTTCTTCCAGGTAAAAAAAACACCCTTCTTAAATTATCATTATTACATGATAAATTCATTCATAATTCCTTTACAAACAAACATAATTATGTAAAATATGATATATGAAAACGATTCTATATTTCAAATATTAAATACACCTAAAATTCAACCCTCTATATCAAACAGGATCTACCAAATTTCAAACACTTTTTGAAACAAATGTGCGCTATATTCAGGTATATTTTATCATCTTTTGGTTTGCAAAAATATTTATCTAGATTACATGCTCGTAAATATGTTTTATATAATCTTCTGTAAATTTAATAAATATTCCCTTAGATACAAGCAAGTTACATGAATTTTGCATTGGTTCTACCATATTGTGGAAATTATTACGATTAAAAACCAGATAAAAAGATTTGTTACCTATGTTAATATTATCGTTATCGGATGGTTTTATTTTCTGGTTCAATTAACATTTAATCAATTTTGTTTTTAATTAATTGGTTAACTGGGATAGCAGATTTAATAAAAAATACCCTTCATGATCAAAAATATTCAATTTCATTCATTTTTAGCATTCATCTACTGCAAAATTATTGAGAGACTGTGCTTACGTCATCGACTTATGTAGTTTGTATGAATCAATCTTAAAATGCAATGCAAATTAATTAATTCATGTGTACTCAGTCTAGTAAAGTGATCTTAAGTCATATAACTAAAATTCTATGCTGCCTAACTTAATTTTCCACTTACTAATTGATTGTAATATGATAACATACGAAAGACAGTATATGTGACGTATGTCGTATATCTCTCAATAGTAATATTTCTGTATAAAGTAATTACAGGCTTTCTGTTTTCTTCTTGATTTTAGATAATCTTGAATTAAGTTGTTGGATAACACACTGGGTGTGTTTTATCCTTCTTGTTCTATTGAAATGTTCAAATTCGTTGTTGGTTCGGGGCGTGTTCATTGACGGGGAAGAACCGGGCGGCAGATGCGTGGTATTCCCCGTCTACTATCTCCGGCTCATATTCGAGCATGAAAAGTCGAAAAAGATCAAAAAGATCCAACAGGACTTCGCAAACAAATTGAAACTCGAAAATGACAATCCGAAATTATCGTCGGTGATATCAAACCACATTGCAATCAGTATGAATTCGAAAGACTTGAAAGGACATGGCAATAACGAATGATTTTTTTGTTTGTGATAAATGCATGTATATATAGTGCCTTTTCGGGGAATGCCGAAAAATTTTTTATAGTAGGTAGATAAATATACATATTATAAATATATTATATTGTTATATTAAACAAGAATAATGTATAAAGTGTGTTATAGATATGTTTTAAATAAATTATTTTATAGAAAATTGAATCCAGTGTTTTGTGTAATTAAACTGACTACCTAGCATCAAAATTAATGATAATATAATTTTATTTTGCCCTAAAACTCTATATAACGTAAAATTTAAAAACGCAACATTCAACTTCATATAACCAAAAAATACTCAGGCGTTTTTATTTAATTATTCGAAAATATCTAAGTTTTTTGTCTAAACCGAGATTAATAATAATTATTTATGTAGTGACTACAGTATTACAAAAAAAAAAAAACAAAAATTATAATTGAATCATAACTATAAAAACGTGTCAATCGTCGACGGTTACGTTTCCATTGGATTCCAGGATAACTTATTGTAAGGACATTATTATGGGTTAACTCATTTAGGGTAGAAACTAAGCCCGGAGATATTTTCAGATAGACGTGGCTGAAATTTCTATTTTTTTGGTAAGTGTTTCGCCTTCATCATCATCATCATCATCATCATAAGGTCGTCGGTCCTAAGACTGGTTGGACACGCACCTCCACTCTTTTCTATCCTGAGCTAATCTTCGCATTTCCCTAAAACTAGAACATCCCACACCCGTAACTATTTGCGAGCAGTAATCTAATCTAGGCCTACCTCTACCCCCCTAACTTCCGTTTCTGCTTTTAATATGTCTGGCCTGAGAAGGTGTTCTACTAACCTATCTCGCCTGCTTTTTATTGACTTCCATAAAGTCCTCTGTTCTCCTATTCTTTCTAATACCTCTTCATTTCTAACCTTTTCTATCCACGGTATCCTCATCATTTGCCTGTAGCACCCCATTTCGAACGCTTCTAACCTTTTCTTTTCCGCCGCGCCCACCGTCCATGTTTCGCACCCGTACAACGTCGTGCTCCAAACAAACACCTTTAACAACCTTTTTCGAATTTCTAAATTAACCGTTCGCAAGCACTGAAGTGACTTATTTTTATTGAAAGCGACTCGACCCTTGCCGGTATATTTTGTTTTGCGGTGCATTTCTTTTTTATTGGAACGTACTGTATATACATATTTATATCAAAACAAATATACGTAAAGTAATTCATGGAAAGTATTGAGAAGATAATATCGATATCAGTCGTTCTTCAATAACAAAAGGATGATGGTATAAGTCGACTGTCTTCGATATTGTTTGTTTTGTGTAATGTTATTAGTAAATAGTCGTAGTGCGTCCATGTGGTTAAAACGTTTGGTTGTCTAATAAAAACTGAGCAATTATGAGTCCATATTAACGGAATAATTGCATCCTGAAATAAACGGAATTAACAAAATGCGGATGCTATTTTGCCAATTAACTACTTAACTCATAATAAATCAAGTACTTCCAGTAATGTTTATTTTGTGAAGAATAAATATTCTCTTTCTGACTTGGTCTACTGTTATTACATGTATGCATGATCGCATGTATAACAATAATAATTGCTTACATTATCATCTGTCCACATATTGTAGGTACAAAACCGTATTGCTCCTATAAATGTTATATAATTTAACTCTTTTACTTTTAACTTTAATAATAATTATTAATTCTGTATGGGTACTGAAAACATTTAAAATATTAATAAAGATATAATAATTTTGAAAGCATACTGTAAAGTATATATGCTTTTGTTTATTTTAAAGCAAAAATGTAAAATAAAACAATGAAAACTACCACACAATGCAATAACGTAAACATAATTTTATTTTTTTTTTTAATATCTTTTGTCTTAAAAAGTAATAAAAAACGTTACCTATGTTAA